CACCTTTTTTCTTTTTTAATATAGTGTATTTTCCCAATCATTCCAATGAAATATTTTTAATTTTTATTTGTCAAGTGTTTCTTAGCTTGTTTAGAGATGCCCTTATTTCCAATGACTTTTTTTTCTAGCAATACTTTTGAATGAGCTTCTTTGCATTTAGCTTTATTTCCTTGTCATACAGAAAATAATGAGGCCAATCCTTGGCAAATTACTAATACTTGCTTTGTGGCCCTGCATACAACAATTTTTTGTTCAATATTTTTCTAAGTTTGGAAAGAATGCATGATCTGAATTTGTTCAGTGTGTTAGTCTATATATGTCAAACATTTAAGTTTGTTAATTGTTGTGTCCAATCTTCAGCATGCTTACCAAAATTTTATGTAATTAGTTTATCAGTTTCTGGTAAAAGCATACTAAACTCCCAATACAATAATGGAATAATCTATTTTTTAAATATTTTTATCACTTTTTTGCTGTGTTCATTTTGAGGCAACATTGATAAGTATATATAAATATAAAATTGTTTTTTCTATCTGCATAAACTGTTTTCATCCCTATCTATATGTCTCTTTATATCTAGTAATGCTCTTTTGATGAAATGTATGTGTGTGTGTGTGTGTGTGTGTGTGTGTGTGTGTGTGTAGTTGGGTGAATATATCTCCAAGTATACATATTGAAGTACTTATCTGGTATGTCTTTCTATATGTTTTCTTTCAAATTCTTTTCCTCTATTATGTTGATCTTACACCACCTACGAACAACATTTAAATGATTTTTTCTTATCTATTTTGACAATATACATCCTTTAGTTTGAGTATTTATGTTACTTTATTTCAACATAAATACTAATGTATACATTAAATTTACATCATTTTAATTTTCTATTTTTTCCACTTATTCTATATTTATTTTTGTCTTATTTCTTGATTTTTTTAATTGCCTGACCTCTACCTAGCTACTAGAATTTTGTATACTACAACTTTTATCTTATTTTGCCTTATTGTTTTAAGAGACCATGTATGTATCTGTAGCAAATATGAGAATTTGTCATTCCAAATTTGAGTTTTACAAACTTCACAGGAATTTCTGGATTATTTTGGAATTACTATTGGTTATAAACTTCATATTTTATTAGTATTAACTTTTAGGTTTAAAATAGTCCCTCTAGGGGCACCTCTGTGGCTCAGGCAGTTCAGAGTCTGACTCTTGGTTTTGGCTCAGGTCATAATCTCCTGCTTTGTGAGTTCAGCCCTCTTAAGATAACGGAGGAGGCTGTTTGGGATTCTGCCTCTCTCTCTCTGTTCCCCTCCTCTCCCCAGCCGCATGCTTTCTATCTCTCTCTCTCAAAAATAAACAAAACAATAAAAATAAAATACTCCTCGAATTCTTTTTTTTTTTTTTTAATGTTTTATTTATTTCTAGGAGAGAGAGAGAGAGACAGCGTGAGCAGGGGAGGGTCAGAGAGAGAGGGAGTCACAGACTGAAACAGGCTTCAGGCTCTGAGCTGGCAGTCAGCACAGAGCCCGACGCGGGGCTCGAACCCACGAACCGCGAGATCATGACCTAAGCGAAAGTTGGGCGCTTAACCGACTAAACCATCCAGGCATGGATAAACATAAACACTAGAATTCCTGAAGATAGCTCCTACATGAAAGGCTTTTTGTTCCCTATATTTTTGTACTGTAGAATATAATCCAGCTGGATAAACTTACATGCAGTAACTTTGCAAGTATATGAATTATTTTAAAGTGAACAAATACTTTCATGAACACAGTTAAGGTCAAGAAATAGAAATGTAAACACTGCTGACTTTAGTATTCAGCATCTTTATTACAATTTCTATTAGCTTGTTGGTTACATGTTCTTTTACTTTCTTTATTAGATGATCTAGAGGTTACATCATGCACTGTGGACATATGAAATCTATTATAAAATCATAGTTTATCAACTTCGCAAATTTTAAGGGGCAAAATTTCTCAAATTTTAAGGATCCCAAATTTAAGGAGTTTAGAATATTTTACCTTTATGTGCCTTTCTCACTTGTGATCTCATGTTGCCATGTATATGATGCATATTGTAAACTCCAGAAAATGTTCTTTTGATATCTATTCATTCATGAATAACTTAGTTTTTATGAATACATATACTGAATGACTTTGCCTTGGAGGTTGCTTGCGACTCCAACCTGCCAGTATAGTTATTTTTCTGTTTTTATTTAATATAAGTTTAAGACTGTGTCCTGCGATAAAGGATTTTCACATTTTTGTTGTCCTAACTATGAGTTTTCTTGTCTTTAGTTCTGAGGGATATTTTTGGTAGAAAAAAAAGAAATCAAGACTGTCAGTTATTATTTTGCAACTGTTGGGATTTATCTTTCCATTGTTTTCGGACTTTTATCTCTCTTGAGATTATGCTTTTGGTGTCAAATCTAAGAACTCTTTGCCTACCACTAGGTCCATTTGTTCCTCCTAAAAGTTCATCTTTTTTCTCTTGCTGTTTAATGTTCTGATTTTGTTTCTTAATTTTTAACTCAAGACATATAGATGGAGTTATCTGTGTAGTCACTTAATTTTTATTTTTGTTTTTCTCTTATGCTTCTTGAATGTTTGACTCAATGTTTGCTATAGTTATGGAAAATTTTTCAGCCATTATCTCCTCAAATATTACTTCTTCCTGATTTTCTTTTTTAATATCCTTCTAAGATTTAAATAGCTGGGTAAGGTATGTTAGGTCTGCATGTCCCATAAGTCTTGCATATACTTATTTCTACTTCCTATCTTTTTGTCTTTTCATGCTTTGATGTAGATATTTTGTTCTGACCTATTTTCTTATTAACTTATTTTCTCTTTAGGTATGGCTAATCTTCTGTTATCAAGAACTGAGAGTCCATATTCAGTGGCTAAATCTTTTAGGATCTAAATTTTCCACTTGGAAGTTTAACATTTTTCTCATGATCTGTACTTTTATAATGGATATTAATAAAATAATTTTAGGATGTGTGCATCGATTTCTGACACAATTGAATAGGGTTTAGTAGATAAATCATAATATGTTTGCACCATAAAATTCCTTGCTTTTTAAAAAAAATGTGTTTATTTATTATTTTTTAATTTTTTAAATGTTTGTTTATTTTTGAGACAGAGAGAGACAGAGTTGAGGCAGGGAGGGGCAGAGAGAGAGGGAGACACAGAATTGGAAGCAGGCTCCCAGCTCTGAACTGTCAGTACAGAGCCCTGTGCAGGGCTTGAACCCACAAACTGTGAGATCATGACCTGAGCCAAAGTCGGATGCTTATCCAATTGAGCCACCTAGGCGTGCCTCCTTGCTGTTTTTGAAATGGTAATATACACAAATACTTAACCATCTGAAGGGATCATCTTAATATATTATATGCTGTATATTAATATATTAATTACGGATATATTCTAATATATGATTAAAAATAATATAACATAACATAATATATAAACTGTAAGTATTTTAGACTTTAGGGTATGATTTTCATCCACTTTGTCCTTAACATATTTTCTAATTTTCTTGTGGGCAATGAACATGAAAAAAAACTTTATGAAAAAAGATTTGTTCATTTACATATATATAAGTATCTTCTCAGAGGGGTATTAATAAAACATAAGCAATGATTACTTTAGCACAGTATTGATCAGCTCTCATATGAAAATACATAGGCAGTGTCTCAGTAGTATAATTATAGGACAAGCTTTAAAATGATTTAAAGTAGTTGTGGATGATATAGTTATAGTCATTCTGGTTTACCAAAAACAGTAAAGAGAAATGAATGACTTGGCTGGACTCTAGACCCTACACTGTTTCTATCTAGATTCACCTGTGCAAACATTACGGTGTTTCTCATGGAATTCATGCCTGTATGTAATCTCTTCCCCTTTAAGCTGGATGTGACCTGTGATTTGCCTTGAGCAACAGATATGGCAAAAGCGCTGATATACTATTCACCTGATTATATGACATTACATTATAGTATCTAAGACTGGTTGGTAACAGACTTAACAAATCTTCCTTACTTGTCTGATGAAGTAAGTGGACACATTAGGAAAACCCATAGACTAAGAACTGGGGGCAGCATGCTAAAACTCTAGGCAATACCGAGGATCTGAGGAAAATCCTGAAGCTCTGAGGTCTATAGCTGCAAGTAATCAAATGCTTCCAGGTGAGCTCAGAAGAGAACTCAAGCCTCAGGTAAGATCATGGTCCTGATGGAACCCTTTTTTCCAGTCTTGTGAAAGACCTTGCAAAGACCCAGCTAAGCCATGAACAGACATCTGACCTACAGAAATTCTGAGATCATAAATAAGTATGGTTTTAAGCAGCTAAGTTTGTGTAATTTGCTATACAGCAGAAAAACACACAAATGTATGTTCCCTGCCAGACTTCTGCTTACTCATGTGCCATTGCCACACCGGCCTTCCTTCAGAGTAAGAGTGTTCCTTTAGCTTCCTGCCATGCTTCATCTGGACTCACTACCCAGGTCAAGTTCTTCTTTCCTTCTTCCACTGTCCCTACTTCCTTCATACATAGATACTCTTCATGTTGTTAAAACCTAACATCTTTTAGTTTCAATATTACCCTATGGTCACACACATGTCATTCCTGCAGGCCCTTGAAAATAGACCAACCAATCTCTTCTCTGTAATCTAGGCTCAAAGTATCACTAGGACAGGAAAGCTCACATTTTCCTCCCAACTTAACACAGGGCTACACTCAAAAGCATCCAATATGATTTTATTGGCGTGATGAATATATGCACAAATGAGTTCATTTTGTGAATAACATTTGGGATCTGGAGAAAATTTATTTTCAAGGATTCTCAAAAACTGTATTGGGTACTTAAAGCTTTATAAAATTATTTTCACTGAGCATAAAAATAACACTGAGGGATTTTGTGGATTATATGTAAAAATAATAGAAATTGAGCTGCTTGTTTTTCTTCCATTCCAATGATAGGAAGAAAACAATTAACTTACCTGGCCGGGCTTAGAGTTTTCACAAACAACAATATCATATTCCCTGGCAAGTTCGGGTGGATTGTCATTGACATCCAGAACTCTAATACCCACTGTGACATGGCTCAGCAAACCAGGATTGTCTGAAAAAGACACAGGGATATATTTAGTATTTCCATGCACACTTTGGAGGCCAGGTTTAAAACAAATCTCCTTAATACTGTAGCGTGTCACTATCTCTGTATGCTGCAAGAGGACTTTTGGCAAAAGACAACTTTATGATGGCATTCATTGCTAGAACTCATTAACTTACAGAAAAATGAAAAATGAACACCAAGGCATGACATGAATGCTAAAATGATATTTTGTCATATCAAGGAAATTACATGTTATTCAGGAACTGGAGTGCGAGAAAGTTGTCAGAATTCATTGTACACTGTCAGAGTCTAAGGGATGAACAATTGGTTTTATCGTTAATCTAAGAAAAGCATTGCAGCTGGTTAAAAAAAATTACATAATCTTTAAAAAGTTCTAGGGTTCACATCTAAATAAATTTGGAGAAAATAAAAAGTGCAATTTTTTTTACACAAATGATAATTTTCTTCTTTTTTTTAAGTTTATTTATTTATTCGAGAGAGAGAAAGAGAGAGTATGAGCAGGAAAGGGGCAGAGGGAGAGAGAGAAACAGAGAAAAGATCCTAAGCAGGCTCTGTGCTTTGCGCTAAGCTTGACATGGGTTTCAGTATCATGATTGTAAGATCATGGCCTTAGCCAAAATCAACAGTTGGACACTTAACCAACTGAGCCACCCAGGTGCCCCAGGATAATTTTCTTCTTCTAGAAAAGATGCACGTAGCATGTGATGTTAAGTCATACTTTGGGAGAAATATAGAATAAATAATTCAAATCAGAATTTATCATAAAGTTAATATATAACACTGGCAGATACAAAAATATTATAGTTAATACTCTATAAATAAGTCTTAAACACATCTTATTTTTCAGTTAACTAATTCTGAGATGGAAAAAAAAAACAAACATTTGACGTTTACATGGTAAAGCTATAAATGCAGAATTAATAATGGGAAAATTAAATATATATTTTTATTGTTGATCTTTCTGTTATTATCCTTAAAAAATCCAAAATTAAAATAAAAATAGACCATTGCATTTAAAAATGGACTACAAAAAAGATAAAGTCGAGACATATTTATAAATTATGAAAGCAGAACATGAGAAGGCAGAAACTAACCACATTAGAACAAATGGGATATGGATACAGATATATATATAGAGAGAGGGAAGACACTAAAAATAGTAGGAATAGGGATGGAATAAAAAGTGCCAGAGGTAGCTCTTAAAGGAATAGAAAGGTTGAGGAGTACTACAGTAACTAAAGAAAATAAAATTTCATTTAAAAGTAATTTTTCAGGGTACATGGATGGCTCAGTTAGTTAAGTGTTCAACTCTTTATTTTGGTTCAGGTCATGATCTCACAGTTTCTGAGTTCAAGCCCTATGTCACTCACTGAACTGACAGCAGATTCTCTCTCTCTCCCTTTCTTCTATGCCCCTCCCCTGCTTGTACTCTCTGTCTCTCAAAATGAATAAATAAGCTTTAATAATATTATTAAATATTATCATTAAATAATTTATTATTATTATTATTATTATGAATTTATATCTGGGGACCTCGGTTGCTAAGCCTATAAGCATTCAACTCTTGATTTTGGCTCAAGTCTTGATTTCACAGTCTTGAGATCAAATCCTCTGTCAGGTTCCACATTAGGCATGAAACCCACTGAATATTCCTTCTCTCCTTCTCTCTCTCTGCCCCTCTCCCTCCCAAATTCTCTCTCTCTCAAAATAAAAATAAAAAGTATATTTTTTCTAGGGGTGCCTGGTTGGCTCAGTCCATTAAACATCTGGCTCTTGATTTTGGCTCAGGTCCTGATCTCACGGTTCATGGGTTGACACACTGTGTTGACAGCACAGAGCCTGCTTCAGATTCTCTCTCTTTCTCTCTCTGACCTTCCCCCCAACTCAAAAATAAATAAATATAAAAAAAAGAATACTTTTTCTAAAGAGAAAAACATCAGGTCTAGGTCATTTTACCTAAAATTAAAGAAACGGGCAATTTAGTCTTATATGTCTTTTTTCAGGAATGCAGTGGAAGAAGGAAATACTCTAAGGCTTGTTTTAGAATGGCTTGTGAAATGTTGATATCAATACCAGACACTCTCACTCATAAGCGATTTTAGGTGTAAACAACCTAAACAAGATGGTAGCAAAACCATTACACTGGTGTGTAAAAATTAAAAAAAAAATTAAAAAACAAACCCTGTATCAATTAATTCCACGCTTACTTAGTTTAGTGTTAAAGAAGAAACAAAGAAAAGAGGAAGGAAGGAAAATACAGAGGAAGAATTGAGGAAGGCCTTTTAAAAAGCACAAAAATTATTCAAAAATTTAATTTAATTAATTAACATCATTAATTAATTAATTAATTAAAAAACATCACCTCAACACATACGGAAAAACCCAGACTCAGAACACCATATCCATATATTATAAACACAATGAAACAAAGCAAAGCAAACAAATAACAAAAACAAAAACTCTGAGTGAACTAGAAACAGAAATGTGCCCTCTCCAACTCATTAAGGGTACATTAAACAAAGAACAACAAAACCACAGTGTACATTACTCTTAATGGTGAAAAACTAACTAGAGCTAATTAACAAAGCTATAAGGAAACTAGAAATAAATCCAACAAAGTAAGTGAAAAACCTATATGCAGAACACTTTACTGAAGTGATATATTGGTTGAGCTTACTTAGACTTCCTTAAAGAAGATCTAAAGAAATGAAGAGCTATACCATGTGTGTGGTTAGGAAGACAAAAATAACACAAATAAAACCGACCTTTCCAATTGATTTGCGTATTGGGGCACCTGGGTGGCTCAGTTGGTTAAGTATTGAACTTTTGGTTTCAGTTCAGGTGATGATCTCAAGGTTCATGGGATCGAGCCCCATGTCGGGCTCAGTGCTGATAGCATGAAGCTGGCCTCTCTAGCTATCTCTATCTCTCTCTTTCCCTCTGCCCTTCCTCTGCTCTCTCTCAAAAAATAAACTTTAACAAAAACCAAATTGATGTGTATATTCAATGTAATATACTGAAAATACCAATGTTTGTAGAATTAAAAGATCATTCTAAAATTTATAATTACTAAGATTATCAGACTTGTATGGAGGAGAACAATTGTATGTACTTGCTCTACAATTTACAAGGCTTATTACCTGTGACCTTACTATTGTCACTATATAAATCTCTCTTCTATTCTAGATGTCATGTCTGATTTTCTTCATGTATTCTTATGTTTCCCAACTAGCTACTTGCTCATCTTTTAAGAGCAGACAAAAGCAATCTGTTTTAGAAATCTGAGGCAAGAATAATTTTATTGGCTCTAATCATTAGAATCAGCAGCCTTAATTGTCCCTGAGTAAATAGTTCTCTGCTCATTTTCCAAGCAGGCAGAATTAGAAGCAAGCTTAGTGAAATTAGGGATAAAAATAACTGTTTTGTAGGAAAGGATTCTGGAAAGACTACATCTTGTGAAAAAGGCTACAACAAAAGAACTAGGTATCGGATTGTTTTCAACCTTTGCCTTCTCATAGTCTCCACTCTGTCTTGCTCACAAGGTCTTCTAGACTGGAACGGCCTTGCACTCATTCCATACTGGAGTACAGGAAATTCAATTCTTCTAGATGGAAATAGACTCAAAGTTTATCAAATGTCATCAATTCAATGTATAATTACTATTTCTTCCCTTAATGACTAAAAGCACAGTGTTCAGAGGCAGACAAATGCCAGTTTGTGTTCTGTGGGGAAGCTGAATTGAAGCTGAATTGACTTAAGTTTAGTGTGGTTGGGACTAATGAATGATCTGTGTGCCTTTCCTGTCAGGGCAACCGAAGGAGATACTGATGAGGAGTTATGGAGAACAGAATGCTGGAGTAAGCTTACTGTCATTACTGATGCAAAGTGAATAACTGCTGTCTATTTACTAAATGTGAGATGATTTATAAAAACCGTGCCTTTAATTCTATATAATTAGAGGCTGGAAATACATGACGGCTTTATAGTCACTTGTAGCCTACCTGCATACATTCCGCTACTTTCTGCTCAATAAAAAAATTAGCTATTTCTAAATTAGCAAACTGGCAAGTGCCTTTGGCTTCCTCTTTCTTATTTCACACAGCCCTTGGGTTAGTATGTTACCCTTCAAATGAGTGTAACTATACCTATAAAATGTGAACACATTCATATGTGTTGGAAGAATTTTTCTCTGAAAAAAATTAGAGAATGTTCCTAAAGTTCTTAATGCAATATTCTATTATTACTTTTGTCTTCGTGCTTTATTTCTAGAAATCGGTGATTTAGTTGATATATAATTGACATACTACATTATATTAGTTTCAGGTGTACACCAAAGTGATTTGGCAATTATATACATTACAAAATGCTCACAAGAATAAGCGTAGTTACCATTTGCAATCATACAAAATTATGATAATATTAGTGGTTACATTCCTCAGGCTTCAATTTTCATCTCTGTGACTTATTTATTTTATAATTGGAAGTTTGTACTTTTTAATCCGTTTCACCAAAATGCTGACCCACCCCACCCTGCATGCCTTCTTCTCTTGCAATGAGCAGTTCTTTCTCTGTATTTAGGAGTCTGTGTCTGTTTTTCTTTGATTGTTCAATTTTAAGTAATGTGATGGCAGAGTAAATATATCGGAATCAGACAAATTTAAGTATGAATCCCCCTTGCCAGCACTCTTTAGGACATGAACTTTGTAAAGGTGTTTATTATTTCTATACCTTGATTTCTTTTTTTTTTTTTTTTAATTTTTTTTATTTATTTATTTATTTCTAGGAGAGAGAGACAGCGTGAGCAGGGGAGGGTCAGAGAGAGAGGGAGTCACAGACTGAAACAGGCTCCAGGCTCTGAGCTGGCAGTCAGCACAGAGCCCGACGCGGGGCTCGAACCCACAAACCGCGAGATCATGACCTAAGCGAAAGTCGGAAAGTCGGACGCTTAACCGACTAAGCCACCCAGGCGCCCCTATACCTTGATT